TCAAAGGAATAAAATTCACAAAACAACCCACACTAACCAAGTGCTCCATTACCAAAGTAACAACCCAACCTCCCACAAGAGGAGCTGTGTAAAAACATTATTCAGGTGAGCACAAACGCATTGCAGCAGCCCAGAACAGCAGTAAAAGGAAACAGATCACCTATACAACATCTTCCAATAAAATGAATACCCACACAACTTTATCAAAAAGGGCCTGACCACTCAACCTACTACAGCACAACCAAGACAAGCTATGAAAAGGATCACACTGCCATAAATCAGAAACATCTCAGAAACAACCAACAGATGATTACAACTACATGGCATTACCGTAGCACACAAACCAAGTAACACCATCCTAAACATCTTAAGTAAATCAAAAGACCCAGTAGCCCAAGAAGGAAAAAAAGAAGTCATCTACAACATACAGTGCAAGGAATGTAACAGCCACAATGTAGGACAGACAGGCAGAAGGCTGGCAGAGTGCATCCATGAACACCAACTAGCAGTCAGAAGACACAATGAAAACTCCTTAATCTCACAACACATGGACAGACTCAATCATAGTTTCAACTGGGGAACTGTCAGCATCTTAGACCAAGCTAAATCCAAAAATGCTAGGGAATTCCTGGAAGCTTGGCACTCAGACACATCAGTCATCAATATACACACAGAGATAAACCACATTTACACAACATTCAAATGAGACAATAAGACAGCTAAGGAGGAAACAAAAGACCAGAACACATCCTTTCCAGCAGCCTACACCCAGATAAACAGGGATTAACACCAGACAAACAATTAAGCAGAAAACAATAATCAAGAAACTACCAAGGAGACAATCAAGCAAACAGTCAAGCAATAAACAATACCCTAATCAAGGAATTACCAAGGAGAAAACCACACCCCCACCAACACTGTCAGAGCAAGCTACTGTATATAAACAGGGAGCAAACCCCACACTCACTGGCACTGATGATGTTACCTGGTCAGGTAATGAAATGTCTGCAGTCAAACAACCAAGCTCAGAGAGCACCAGGGATTCCACAGTTCAACCATGAGCTACAGATATTTTCTTCTATTGAGATTAAAATGTGTTAACTAATTCTAAAATGTGCTTCAGTATCAAAGGCATCTGTACTATGTGGCAAGGCAAAGTAAGCACCTCAGAACATTTAGAGTACTGTCAAGAACAGCAGACATACCTGTCAAGAAAGGCAGACATATCTGATCTATTGGAAAGGCCTGTTGTTTATGTCCAATTGGCCTTGATGGGAGCTGTACAAAAGCACTAACTGCAGGAGTAGCTCCTATTCTCTCAAGACTTCTGTAAAAGGCTTCAGTTTCTACCTCAGGGATCATGAAATGTTGTTAGTGTTAGCAGACTATCTCTGAGCATACTGAGAATAGTCAGTTAAGAAATTGGCTGGCTACCTAGATTAGCAATAAAAAAACATTTCTGTATTTTTTGTAAGGTGTTGGCGTAGAAACCAGGAGACTCTGGATTCTTGTCCCGCTTTAGGCATTAAAGCTGGCTGGGTGACTTTGGGTCAGTCACTCTCTCTCAGCACAACTCACCTCACAGGGTGGTTGTTGTGGGGAAAATAGGAGGTGAAAGAAGTATTAGTATGTTTGCCGCCTTGAGTTGTATATGAAAAACATATTTTAAAAAATCAATAGACTTAATTGCTAAAGTCTTCAGAGAAGACAAACAGAATAGATCAGGAGAGGACTGATCAAGAAACCAGGCATAAACTTCCTTACCTCTCCTGGACTGCTAGACAATATGACTGTGGAGCAGCTAATTAGGTCTATCTACATCCTGGATGACTTCCTCCCGCTCCCCACTCTGGTTTGTTCCTTATTACGTTCTCCACCCATTACTACAGTATTTGACAATTAGATATTGACGTGCCTGGTAATATGTTCCAGAGCTCTCATTTGCCAGTGCTTCATATCTCCCTGTAGTCTAAGAGAATAGATCTGGTTGACAAACCTGTGTTGGATTTATGCATAGTTATATTTAGAATGTGCTGCTGTTGGATGGCTAACATACTACAGTAAAGTAGATATTAAAAGCTGGAGCTATTATGAACTATAAGTGTCCACGCAAATTTTATTTGAAGCCAAGATTTTTTAAGTAAGATGCTATATTAATTTAACCTATGTGTCTCTTGCCCTTTCTACTAAGTAAGGATAATAATCCTATTGCAGGATTACCAATGTAATGTGAGTGTTTTGAAAATTTAGAAAAATCACTCTGTTAGTGGTGTTATAATTCTATGAGTTTATAAACCAAGAAATAGAATTAAAATATTTCAGGAAAAAGTGCCAAAATAGCAACTTTGAAGCATTCAGACATTGGCTTACAATGGTTTGGATCTGGTCTCAGTCATACTAAGAGGAGCCCCCCTTGAAATCACAACTATTCTATTGATTTGATTAGATCTTCTGTAAGTTTGGCTAAGCTTGGACCTAACCCATTAATAATAAAATAACTATTTCCCTGCATTTCTTGCATTTATGGCTAGCATTAATGAAGATAAAGTTCTACAATATCTAAAACTAATAGAAAATCTTCCACACTGATTGTTCTCAGAAATGCTTCTTATTTTGTTTCAAGGCTTGATTGAACAGAAGATTTGGTAAGGATAACAAGCCCACTAGGAGCTATGCCAAAGTTTAAATAACTTTATTCATAATTTCCTAATTTGAAATCTCATAAGAACTATACTAATTGATCATAGCTCTAACTTCCACCCTATTTATCCCAACAGTTTCCATTTTGCTACTAGATTAACTTTATATGTATTATTTATTTAACTGGGCTTGCATACTGCTCCAGTCATTTCAGAGTCTAAGTAGCTTACATACTCTATTCCAGAAACAAAGTTAAAAATATACATAACAACAACATCAACTTACAGTTCCCCATAAAGGAAAAAGGCAAGAGCTCAATATAAATAAAAGCCCAAATTAGAAGAATGAACAACATGTATAACATATCTATCCCCAAGGCACTGTTAGAAAAAAACAGATTTCAATAGCCTTTCTAAAATTCAGCAGGGTTGGAGTCATACAGATCTCAAGAGAATGCTGTTCCATAGAAGGGGCCATTGACTGAAAAGGCTTACCTCTGAAGTCCCTGCAGAAGACATTCCCCAAGAAAAGGGACCTAGAGGGAACCCTTTATATCTGATCTTATCAGACAGGCCAAACCAATTGGAAGAAGGCAATCATGTAGATATCCAGGTCTTAAGCCATGAAGGGCTTTAAAGGTAACAACCAGGATTTTGAACTGTACCTAGAAGCAAAGTGGTAACTAGTGCAGCTCTTAAACATGGACAAACTGAGATGCATCCATAACTATTCAAGCTGCTGCATTCTGGGCCAGCTGTGACTTTTGAGTGCTCTTTAAGGGTAGTCCCATGTTGAATGTATTGCAGTACTCCAAAGAAAAGATGACCAAGCCATGAATAACTATGAGCAGGCTCTCTCATTCCAGGAAAGTTTGTAAATGGAGTTGTGCAAAGACCCTTCTTACCACAGCTGCCACTTTCTCTTCAAGCAGGAACTGGGAGTCAAAAGAAACCCCAGATTATGAACCAGCGTGGAATGGAGTAAAACCTATGCAAAACTATAGATTGAATCTCCGTAGAATATTCTTAGATGGTTTCCTAATCCACAGCCATTCCATTTTTCTGGGACTGATTTTAAGCTTGTTTCTCCCCATCCAGATACCAGCACAGATATTATAGCATATGCTACGTATATACATCTGAATATATTATATATAACTTCATCATTTTAATTTATTAACATTGCATTTTCACTATTGACTCCTTCATATTAAGTTATATACAGATGATCCACCAATTTTTCACTTAAAAGCAAGCAGTTTGGAGCTTACTCAGGCCTCTGAGATTCCATTTTATAACAGAATAACTCTCTTTTACCTGTCTTAAATGTACCCCCCAACAATTTTTTTATTGATAATGGACAAAGGTTAAAGTTAAAAGAAAAGAAAATAGAATTGTTGGAATCAGTTGATAACTTTTAGGATAGATGATTCCAAAGTACATGACAGAACCAATATCTTCCCAAGATTATTTCAGCTGTGACCGTCAGCTGACATCATCATTCCACTTGAATGTGTTGCTTCTGCAGTGAATTGTTGTTATCTCTTGTATGTGATTTTTTGGTATTTACAATACAGTACATATCATTACTTATTTGAGAAGATCATAGTGTCCAATTACTAGCAGCTGTTATGATGGCAATTAGCATATCAATACAGGACTTCTAAACCTTTGGTTGGATCATACCATCATACAGCCCGCAGTAACTAAGTCTAGGACGTCTGCAAATAGAACATGAAGGAAATAGCTTTCTCCTGTTATTGCTGTCCAGCAAATGGTAATGAGATATATATATATATATATATTGCTTCTGCTGTTTAGAACTCTTTTATACTTGGTCTGTCAATTGATCTACAGATCTGAGTAAAGGTACCTGTCTGGAAAGTTGACTGAGGAAGCTTCCATATTTTGTGATTAATTATTAATATTATTTTTATATTCATTATTATTTATGCTTATCATAGTTCTAGTCATTGTGTAGAAATGTGTTCCTGGCTTAAGTCTGTCTTTCTTCATTAAATTGAATAAAATTATCTAGGACTTACAGATTGCTGCAGGTGAAAGTGAAAGTACAGAGAAGGCAAAGTTAGAGTGATTTGGTAAGATTGCTGAAACGTGTCACCATGGGAAAACTTCTAGAAGAATGGGGTTCTGGGCACAGAGAAAAACTTGTGGCAAAGGCACAGAAAAAAGAATAGACAAAAGAAGCAAAGGTCACCAATAGCAGCTGACCTGTGCAGAACAGAGAGAATATTTGGGGGAAACGTAAATGTGGACAGCAGAGGCGCGGTCCTTAGTCAAGGTGAGGGAGAGCACATAGTTGCAGCCCCTCTGACTGTTGCCTTCTCATTTTCATTCCAGTTACTACCTTGATGGCCGAGTGGCCAAGGTGACGGACTTCCTGAAAACACGCCTGTTAGACACACTCTCTGACCAGATCAGGAAAATCCAGAAAGTGAGTGAGTGAGTGAGAGGGATGGCTGGGACAAGAGGGCAGCATGTTTGCAAAGGTGGGGAGCTTCAAGTATTCCAGGGTGCTGAGTCTGGATTTGCCATGTGCTCAGTGCCAGACGGGTTTAGCAAAGGTTTCTACTTTGCTACTTCAAGGCCCTGTAAAATTCCAGCAAACTGGACAAATAAGATAGACAAAATAAGTATAAAAATATTTGGGAGAGGTTCTGTGGAGAGCTAAAATGTCCTAAGCCCTGTCCTTATGGAAACATTGGAAAGCTGTTATTGACTGAAATAGTTGAATTTCAGAACCCTTGGAAGAATATAAAAGTCATTATGCAAGACAGGAAGTGTGGGAGGAGATGCTAGGTTTTGGAGAACAAAGGTGATGGAGTCTTTCCTTGGGCTAAAGTATATCAAGGGAAAAGAGGCCATCCTGATGAACTCACCATGCTTAGCTCTATTTCCTATAAGGTTACCTAACTAGAATGTTTGGTCCATTTTTACAGAATGTTTTGACTTATCAAGAAAAACAATAAAAACAGTTTTATAATGGATCATTTTTAATTGGAATAGAATTTTTAGCTGCACTGCCAGGCAGATCCTAACAGGAGATGAGTTACTTTGTTAGAGACCCCAAAGATACCAGCTTACAGATGCAGTAATTAAATTGATTAGTTCCTTTCCTCTTCCTTGTTTTATTATTTTGAGATGGTTCCTTCAAGTAAGTCTAGTGAATGACAGGACCTTCAGGCACTTGTCAGACTTCTGTCCCGAGGTAGCAAGGGTTGTAAACTGACATCCTTAGACCTTATGTTCCCTTATATGCTTTTGTTTCCTGGCACCATCATGTCCTTGACATGTCTGTGCTGCCAAGGTTTGTTTCATGTTACAGTGGCATTTCTCAGAATGGGATCTCTGATGCCATGTACTTATTGCTCTTTCATCAGTTCAGTTTCGTAGGAAAGCGTTAAGGCCAATATGATTTTGCTGACAAGGTCTTGAGGCTTGAGGGAAAGGATTGCTAACTTATGTCCAAAAACATTGATTACTCTCATTAAAGGCTCCGATATAGTTAAAGCAAGAAATTGCTTTATAGTTGCTATCAAGATATTGCCTGTTTTTATTGATAACTAGCTTAGAGGCCAAAATCCTGCTCTGATTTATAAAGGAGCTAGGCTTATACAATCATGAAGATTAGATATCTAACCATAGTCAGTCAGTCATCCAACTTACATGTTAATCTAACAAGCATGTTGTTTCTCATTTGGCTATATACACTTGCATATATACACAGTAAGAACCTACTTTTGCTCCAGGTTTCATGGTGCATAAGCTATATCACATATGAGAAAAAGTGTTTACTAAAAGGACATATGTATTTATAAATGTACATACTAAAATATATAAAACTATTCACAGCTAGGCAGTGCTAAGCAGTAGGCAAACTACAAAGTACATATATGTGAAAAATCATCATGTAGAATTTAAAAAAAAATTAACATTTTTTAAAAACTGAGAATGAGGTCAATTTGCATATTTATAGCATATATAAAGTTCTGTTGTGAGTAGGAATAAGAGTTTGATGGTGTTGCCATATGGTATAGTAGCCTACTGTGATATATGTCTTGGAAAGCAAAATTATAAGGAGAAAAAGGATTTTCTTTCCTTACATAAGGGTCTGATCTAGATAATGGAAATATCTTAAGTTGTGTGAATAATTTCTGTTTTCATAAAGAAATGAGGCTTTGAAGACATGGGCAATTTCATTTTGTAGGAGTGAAATATTTTATTGATTAGCCTGCTGTCTGGTACTTCATGTGAGACATCATAAACAAACTGAAAAGAATCACTCGGATAGTGTATATACAACAAAATTAAGGGAATCAGCACTGGGATAGACAAATGGGAAGTCAGCAAAGAGTGATATGTTCCAGGAAAGCAAGAACAATGCCCATAGAGGAAGTAGCAAAAAATAGAAGAAGGTTCTGTTCAGCTTAACATATTTTCCATCCAGTTCTTACTTTTGCTTTCCTCATTATTTCAGCCTTACTAGACACCGAAAAATCAGTATTATTTATACTAGCCTATGCTAATGCATGTTTTAAAGTTACCAGCTGTCGACAGAGAGTTGTTCGGGGCAGTTCTTGCGTTCTTACCACCACTTTTGCTTTCCCATTCTTTTTTTGGCAACAGGTGGTCAATGCACACATGCCTGGAAAAAGGATTTGGTTAGAGGGCATCGGGGCCACTTCTGAAGGAGGCATCACCAATCTTTCAGATTCCTATGCTGCCAGCTTCCTGTGAGTTAATCTGAGGGTAGAAATAGTGATGTGTTTATGAGAAATTAATCAATAAGTACCCACAATGGTCAACTGGCTTCTTTATTTTCTACAAGATACTTTAAACTCAACTCTAAAACCAAGGATAATGTACATCTTTGGATTAATGATTGAGTTTATTAGACTTTATCCACCCCTTCATGGGAAATTTTCTGTTTCTATTGGAAAAAACATGCAAAGGACTTAAGATAGCTACCAAAGTAGCTGGCTACCTTAAAGTAGTAGCTTCTCCACTTTTATTTATATATAAGCAGGGCATAAGCAGATTAGAAAGGGAATATTTAATTAGGTGTAATGCTGTATGCACTGTGCAACCTATGGACCTAGGACTACAGGAAAGTCTTATTTCAGAATTTTTACAAGAATCATCTGACCCAATCTGTTGTGAGGGCTGTGCAAGGGAGGGGAGGGGAGGGGAGGGGAGGGGAGGGGAGGGG